TGGAGAATAAGTAGCTGTTGGCTTGCATACTACAGATACAGTTCGACATTGGCGGTACTTGCCCTGATGGGAATGATTCAGCAGGCTTATATCCAACCCTTGGACGATTGCTCAGGCCTACAACGATCTTTAATATTAGCCATCTTAGCGTTAAAACTCTCATGTGGCTTATGTGGTTATATGGCTGCTATTACTCCTACTTTTTTGGGGATTGATATGCTATTAAGAGTGCCTCGACCACAGACAGGAATTGAATACACCAATGGAATACTAAACGGCACACTTACAATTGTTAATTGGTGATCCTTATGCTACAAATGACATGGCGTCATTAATAATATGTTATTTAACACATTTACTTTAAGGTGCGAGAATTGAACCCATGAACAAAGGAGTTTGACCGCATTAGTAGGGGTGAGCATCGAAAACAGATGCCTTAGATCGCAGAGCGCCGAAGGCGCTAGTTTTTCATAAACTTGATATCATGTACTTCACGTCAAATGGAGTGACGTCTAGCTTATGCAAAATACATGTACACTTTGGTGACGTAAATATAGGAACGTACATTTTACGTAAACATGATGTCATTTTCATGGCAATCGCGATAAATTTACGTTGTTTGCTAAAAATTGATATATTGTTTACGTAAACATGCTGATTGGGAGCTATAATTCCCAGCTGGACTCCATCTGTAAATTCGGACTCATTCCAACTGGGTAACAGCTGGAAAGTAGTCAGATCCGGATTTGTTCCTAACTGCTATATCACTTACTGAATGATATTCTTTTTGTTGACTATCTTTGTCAGAGGTTCATCTACAGGAACAGCTGATTTTCAACTACAAATTTAGCTACATTCCAGCTGTAGGTTCCTCTTTATAAAATCCCTACTGGAAAATTTCCAGCTGGAAACAGCTATTAAAACCAGCTCCATTCCAGTTGGAAAATTCCAGCTAACTAAGAAACTACTGGTACCTACTATTTTCCAGCTCATTGCCAGCTGGAAATGGTCTGAATTTACAGGTTTGGTCCAGCTGGAATATTCCAGTTGGGATTTTAAACTGAATAATAAACACAGACACTTCCTCATTCATTATTCTCATATTCGAGACAGATTCCTGGAACTTTGATCAAAAGAAGCTTATCTTCACAAACAGTAGCCCGTACATATTTACCTCATCTCTATGCAACGTTGAAATTCAACAAACCATCATTCCTGAACATGTGCGTCCTGACGACTGGATTTGGGACAATCGGAGAGTGACGTCTGGGGCACTCATTGGGGTTAGAGGAAAGCCTCTCACCTTCGTGATTGCATGTAAACGACAAAGGTTTTATATTTATCCACGACGATTAATTATTTAACCTTTTTAAAAGGATATTTAATTTAACCCAGCGCTGCCCAACCTGTGAACCGCGGTCCGGATCCGGACCGCGGGCTTCCATCCTCCGGACCGCTCCTCAGCTCCTTCGATTTGTTTTTCACTTTCCCCATGTCCTCCCCTTAGGCAGTGGTGTGAACTCGTTCATTCAGTTGATAGTTGCGTTGACCTTGACACGGACCGAGATAGAAAGACAGACACCCAACCAGTTAGAATTGGAGGTTTTATTTATACTCTTTCTGGTGTTTCCCTGTTGTGCCAACCCCGTGTCAATGATAGGCAGCTCCTCTAGAAAACGAAAGTCAGATGGTGAAAATCGCAAATTCACAGACACCTGGATGGAGGACTATCTTGCCTAATGAAGTTAATCCAAAACCTCTTTGCTTTGCCAAGTTGCATCGAAGACGTTCAAAGTGGCGATCTTCTCCACTTCCCAAATTTGCAAATGCTTTCAGAAAGAGTGCGACATGAGTCAACCGTTGTCATTCAGTCATTCACATTCAAAGATTTCATCGCATCATTGTCCAATGACTTTAATTTTTGCTTCTGTGAGTTTCGCCACAGCAAAGAGGTATTCTAGCGGATCAAAAAACCACTTGTAGCCTCTCTGCGAGGGGCTTGGGGTAAAGATGTCAAGCCTTTGTTCAAGTCCAAGTTTGCAGCTCGCTGATGTGCATCTCTCTGACATTCATGCCATTGAGGGCCAGGTATACAGGTATGCACAAGTCACTAGAAAATCTAGAAAAGTTCTGGGGTGAGCTGGTGCCTTCTGCCTTGTACCCCACAGCTAAAGGAGTAGGTCGTCATGATTCACACTATGTTTGGGTCCACCTACATATGTGAAAGTGTGTTTTAATCTTCTGAAGAACTGATATTACGCTTCTCTGAATTTATATGCATCAATGCATATAAGTCAGAGCATATAACTCTGACCGCACTCACAACCAGACATTAAGAAAATTGCGAAGGATTGCAACTGCCAGCTGTCACATTGAAACCTTACTTCCGGACCGCCAGACTTCTATGATTATTGGCTTTTGGACCTTCTCACGTAGTAGTTGAGCAGCCCTGATTTAACCTATCAAAAAGGATAAATACGTAACCCACAAAGGATAAATATGAGTTGCAGTTGAAACACCCTTTAGGAGACAAAAGCTGAACCATTTTTGCTAACAGTGTATGGTGAATTTCCTTCACAATAAATCTGAATTAGGATTGAGATATTTCGTGTTTATCTGGATGTTTCTGATGCAAAAAGAATAAATAGGATCCCCAGGAAGACCTATCCACTGAATTCAAAGAAATTGAGAGCTGAAGATAATTTACGCAATAATGCATGTAATTCCTTACATAACGTCTCTACATGTAGAAATGGAATATTTCAAATAGGAATAATTAATCATTGAACTAGAGAATAATCGCCCGTTTCCTTCCCCATGGGAAGTCCGTGCCCTCATGAAAAAATCCAGAAATCCAGCGTATAATTCCCATCTACCTCTCTGTCTTCGTTCACACGCTTCCTTATGTGTCTTTCCTCTGTTCATGTCCAACTACATAATAATATCTTGATTCCTTTTTTTAAATCTAATATATATAGACGATAGACTGGCTGACTGACGCTAATTCCAACCATGTTCTAGAAAAGTTAGAAATCTGAAACTTGGTACACAAGTAGCTATTGGAATGCAGAGTTCATAAAAAATCCAATTTTGGAGGTACATGCTTTGGGGGGCTTTTCAGGGGGTCTGTTTTAGCAAGCCTAGGTCCAGCCCCCCCCCCCCTCACTCCCCACCAGACGGAGGTTTAGGCCTTCGCAATTCTCATACACACGTTCCTTCCTCTGTCATTGAAGGAAGTGTGTGTAACTGCTAGGTTGTTCACTCAGGAGGAATTCCGACTTCGGAAGGGGGTTACATGCCCTTGGGGCAATTTTCAGGGGGGGCCGATTTTGCAGGCCTTGAACCCTTGAACCCTGACCCATGGAAGCACGCTTAGGCCAATATCATTCTCATGGATTCTCTTCTTCAAAGGAAGTGGGATGGAAAACAAATAGCTTTTGGTTCACTAACTACAGATATCAGTTCGACATTGGAGGTACGTGCCCTGCAGGGACTGATTCAGCAGGCCCATATCAAACCCTTTGCATGGACGCTCAGGCATAAATCGAACTCGACTAATTTGTTTAGCGGACCTTTTCGGCCTATTTGAACGGAAAAATCGCTGCCTTAGCATGCGGATCGAAGTCTTTGCCCTATGCCTTTCTAGGTCGTAGCCTAGGTAGAAGGACTAGGGTTGATGCGTACCGGAATGCTTGTGGATGCGAATTAGTTTCATATGTTTTTGTAGCAGGGAAACTGCAAGGAAGATTTTTTCCTCGACTTTCCTATTCATAGTGGTTATGTCCAATGCAGGATGCTCAGACTAATGTCATTTCTGTGCTCACGCTTCAACTAAGCAGGAACATAAATAGCCATAGACTCCCTTCATGAATGACGTATTTTCTCTTGGTCAACTCTATGTAGCATTAGAAGTGTTTAGAAGTGTTGAGACTGTACTCGCTCGAACGAAAGTTAAGGAGGGGCGATCTCATCCAGCTTTCAAGATAATTAAAGGAATAGATAATATCGAGTGTGGTAGGTTTTTCCATTTTGATGACAGCAAGAGAACGCGAGGTAACCGACTTAAGTTGCGCAAAACGCAGGTGCAGCTCAGGTCGAGACAGGAATTCTTTACTTGCAGAGTGGTAGAGGAAGGAACGTGTGTATGAGAATTGCGAAGGCCTAAACCTCCGTCTGGTGGGGAGTGAGGGGGGGGGGGGGCTGGACCTAGGCTTGCTAAAACAGACCCCCTGAAAAGCCCCCCAAAGCATGTACCTCCAAAATTGGATTTTTTATGAACTCTGCATTCCAATAGGTACTTGTGCCTAAATATATATATGTAGATAATGAAAGAACTCCCCTTACAGTGAACGTAGTCTATAGTTATTGCGTGAAAACTCTCAAGTGGCTTATGTGGTTCATGTGGTTGCTATTACTCACTTCTACTTTTTTTTTAGAGATTGATATGCAATCAAGAGTGTGTCGACCATAAGCAGGAATTAAATACACCAATAGAACACTAAACGACGCACTGACGAATGTTATCAATACTTGATGATCCTCATGCTACAAGTCACATGGCATTACTAAGAATATGTTCTAAGCCACGTTTTTGTTAAGGTGTCTGAGCCAAAGGTATGGGAATTGAACTCGTGAGCAAAGGAGTTTGACCGCATTACTAGGGGTGAGCATGGAAAACGGATGCTTTAAAGTGAACTGCATTAGTAATTTCCTTAGATCGCAGAGCGCCGAAGGCGCGCCCATATTCTATTTTTCCATATTCTTGATCAACTCTGAGGAGGAGATGTGATGTAAAGAATAATTCGCATAAATAAAAATAAATAAAGAAATCAAGTTGCAACACTAGCGCGGCAGACCGAATTAAACACTGGTGTTAAGGTATGGATTTCATGCCACACCAACCACTAACACTATTAACACTGAACATTAAGACCATATTTGAACTCATCCAGTGTATTTCTCTTCCCACAGGGACTTGCTGCGAAAATGGCCGAAGACCCTTTCTTTAGCTTCTTGTTATCAACGATTTCGATCCTTCTAGAAAAATTCGAGGAGGGTCAGCCATTTGTCCAAAAAACAGTGGAGGAGTTGTTATTCGAAGGCTACTACATGCCTTTCTTTGACAACTTGACTGCTGTCCTCGATTCATTTGACATGAATGCAAATGAGATCTGGGATTCGCAGTTGCCTCCAGATATGAGGGATTTCAAATTCGCATTCTACAGAGTGAGTGACCAATGATTTTCATCTCTTTTTTTCGAGTGTTGCTACCTTCAGTCACTTGATCGTCACAGATGAATGGAAGCGAGGACGGACCATATCTCATTGGAACCGGGGAAAAGGATTCGACAGACTTCGGAAAGGTTTATGAATGGCGCGGAGAAAACGAGGTCATCGGTACGCCATGGGGAAATTCCAGCGAATGCAATGCCATCAATGGCACTGATGGCTCTCTCTTTCCCCCTTTCATGGACACGAATGAACTTCTCTACGTTTTTGTAACCGACTTATTCAGGTAAGGACCATGTGCTCACCGTATTGAATTTTGTTACGAGGCATTATAGCTCAAAAATTTGCGTTGGTGCTCCATACCTCGAGAGTGATTATGATGAAGACCATTTTGCAAAAATTCTGGAAAGCAGTAATTATACATGGCGATCAGTAATCAGCACCGATTACTCAACTATTTTGCAAGCACACCTTGCAAAATCAAAACATGAAGCTCAGCTTTTGCTCCAAAACTTTTACTTTTTATTCCATTTCGTCTTGCAAAAAAGTATTCAGTGAATCAATATTCTTAAAAAGGGGTTTTCAGGTAATGCCTTGGCATTAGCTATAAAGCAGTGGTTCTCAACCTTTTCGATCACGAGGCCCACCTCATCAACTGCAAAGCGATCCGCGGCCCACTAGACTTAAAAGCTACATAATTTTTGTTTGTCTAACTGTTAATTCCAATTGTAAGATTTACGGATACTTGTCACGGCCCACCCACGACACCTCCGCAGCCCACCGGTTGAGAACCGCTGCTATAAAGCGACTATACATAGATTCTTACTTTAACAAGTCACTTTTTGAAAACCATCACCTGAGTGCAAGAGTTTTCTTCACAAGCCGTTCTCATGCCATGTACATTAGGTATTTTCAAAACATTGCATGTCATCATTTTGAGGCATTGACCCAAGCGCAATGAGGCTTAAACGTGCTGATTGAGATGAATCGTCTTACAAGCTCCTTAATGCAATAACTATGGCTGGATTTTTATTTTTTATTTTGGAAGGAATTTTTATAATCTCGATTTCAGTTATCATGAGTCAGATTCCTCCGAAGGCACGAGGAAACTGTTATATGCTGAAAAACCTGACCCAGAATTCCATAATAAAAAGATACCGAGCCTGCAATGCCCTCTGCCTAGTAGCTAGCAAGAAGAGACTTATTAAGCTGGACCACTGCTCTACAGGGTGAGTCAAAAGTCCTGCCCACCTATTGAACGTTAATAACTTCTTAACGCTTGATCTCATGGAGATGCGATTTTCACCATTCGAAAGGCAAGACAATTCTATACATCAGGAATGATTTTTGCATTATTTTTCCAATGGAAATTAAATTCCTGTTCTTGGATCTTATAAAAGCATTGGCACCCATGCGTGCAGCACTGTTTAATTTTCTGAACGACTGTCAGAGGGTGTCCAGATCGGGAAGGTCTGCTACGTTTCCTGTCCTGTCAAAATTTGAGTCGATACGGGCAATCAACTTGCGGCTGACGGTTTCTCCGATCAATTTATTCATGAATTGTCGAGCAATTTCCGTCGCATTAGGAGTAAAACCGAACTTTTGCAACTCGCTTATAATTGGTCAATCGGTTATCAGCAATTTTCCTCAATCCTCCATGAATTAGAATTGATCACAGCCAAGGCACAATAACTCTCATACTCGAACAGACAATTGGATGCGGTTCTGCAAGGATATTTTCACTTGCCAATGCCTTTGTATAGCCCCCAGAATAGGAATTTAATTTCCGAATGATACCATTAGTAAAAGAATGCGAAAATCCTTCATTCGATACAGAATTGTCTAGTCATGCGATTGATTTAAACAGCATCTCGATGAGATCAAGCGTTGAGAAGTTATTCACATTCAAATGGTGCGCAGGACTTTTGACTCACCCTGTATAAGCAAGGTTAGGAATTTTCGTATTTGAATCTGCAGGATTTTACAAAGAAATAAGGTTTGCCTTGTAGCGGACAGTATTCAGAACTGCCAGACTGAAGCATACTGGCATCCTAGTGTCACGTGGCTTTGGTGTCTAGTGCGGTATGTTGTCCCCTATGGTCGCGGGCTAGGTTAGCAAAAGCGTGAATTCGAGCACCGTACACCATGTGAACAAGATTTGCCTGGCAAGTATGAATGACAGGGGACTATTAGAATACTTCTATTTAATGACAGGCAAATACAAACAATAACTACCTTCCCGAAGTAGGTCACCGGGCTGAGTATGCGGGGTAGGGGCGAACTGTCTGAGTTTGGCGTCAGAGAAGAGAACACGTAAGAGAAACTCCACACATACTTGAAAAAGAAGGGGGAGAGATTCAAACTCCAGAGAGGAGGAAAAGGGGCATACCTCTCCGCGGTCAGGGTCAGGTTGAAGGACGAACGTGAATACTGCTTGGAAGTGTCGCCTCTTATGCCCAGAGAATACTCCTCGATTGTCACCCGAGTGCGGGAATGCCCTGGAATTCTCCGGAATGGAGAAACCCTCCACTTTTTAAAGGGAGGGACCAGGTAAAGCTGGGTCGGAGAAAGAAATCCTCTGGCCCTAGGTGAGGGGAACGAGTACTTGCTCTCGGGCGAAAGGGGTGAAAGAAATGAAAGGGATCTGAGGGGTCAAAGGGGCGTCTGGAGTACATGACACCGGGCAAGACAACTTTCTGTCCCAGCTCTATAAGCTTTCCGCTCATCATGACTCTCCTACGCCGGGTCGTAGCTTCTGAGAGTAAATTCTACTATGACCCAAGCACGGTGCTTAAGCAGTCGCGGAGATCTTGTTTGGTGAGTTCTTACTGGAATGGCGTCATGTGACTGAGGGTGCTGTAACTTCGATCCCAGCTCTTCCCTCTCCTCATAATTTTAAATGTTTATAAAGCCCTGGGAGAGGTCACTCACTACCATACAATTATACTGTATACTGAAGGTGGTTGGCCGCAGGTCAATTAATCTGCGAGACTCGCTTTTCGAGAAAATCTCCCAGCAAATCACTTGCACCTGACGGATTTCTTACGCGCATTGTCCCCAAAAACTGATGTGATTCGGGAAAGATGCATATGAGCCACATTAAAAATTGTAAAGCATAATGGCTCGAAATTCTATTTAGTGTGATGCATTATAAGCGCTGGATCACACGAGCTGTCATAGAATAAATGCGTCAACGTCCCTTAACTCCCAATCGGCTGGAAACACCGGAGACTATAAGCATGACTCATCCTCCCCTTCCATACCAGCGAAGGCATACTCTAATACCTTTCTGGTTTCTCTCGGTAGCGAACTTTCTGAGTGGCCCTCGTATTTAAAGTAATTACTCGCAGTTTTATAGCCTCATAAGTCGATTTCTGCTTCTAAGTGCTTTCTTGAGTAATGTTTCCATCACTGATGATATTCAAGGTTCATAAATACCGTACTTCTGAAAAGTAACTATCATGTTTGAAAACTTTAAAATCTATTTTTTTTTTAACGAGAAGAGTTAAATGAAACGTCATGACCTTATAAGGGATATAACGTCATGACAGTATAAGGGATTTTTTTGCTTAAAACATTATTTAAATCTCTTCTTCGGCCGTATGACCTGTTTGAGAGGGATATCATTGAAGAAATAATTTTATGCAGGACCGCATACCACCTTTTTGTGCTTCCCATGTTAGAGATCAGTTGTCACCAATTGATAACAGAAACATTGAAAACAGTAAAGTTTTTACTTTTATCGAGTATTATTGGTAAGAGGATGCTCCTCTGCATAATTTTATCCTTGTCATGCATTTGCAATCTGCTCTTCCAGGTCCATGCACTTCAAATACGAAAAAGACGTGGAATTCAGGAACATTCCTGGAAAGCGTTTCGTTATTCACAGCGACTCCGTCGCCCATGTAGAGGTGCTTCCCTCAAATGAATGCTTCTGTGTCGGCGAATGCCTTGGAGCCGGACTCTTGGACGTTTCCCAGACTCTCGGTATTTATATCATTTTTGTGACGGAGAATGGCAAGGACTTCCACAGTAAGGAGCAATGAATATTTCCATGAGCAGGTAAACCCGTCGTCATGTCCCCTCCTCATTTCTACGTTCCGGAGGAAGCTGGAGATAATGAGTTCAACAGCTCCCTCATTCATGGAATAACACCAGATAAAGAGAAGCACGAAACCAGACTGGACTTAGAACCGGTAAGAACTCACGCAATTTGATTGCATCCATTTTTTACTCTAATTGAATTAATTTGCAGAATAGCTTTCAACTTCTTTCAGACCACGGGTGTCATCATCCGAGCCGCCAAGAGGCTACAGGCCAATATTAATATAAAACCGATTGACGGTTACCGAACATTTCAAAATTTCCCCAGAATGGTGGCCCCTGCTTTCTGGGTGGAGGAGGTGAGTGCACTCTCAAGCAGACAACTCCGAAAATGGCCCGCATAGGCGCAATATCTGATAAGTAGCCAATCGATATGTGTGCATAATCTTTACAGAGTGTCGAACTGGACGAAGCTTCTGCAGAAAAGTTGTACGATAAAGTGTACGGATCGAAGAAATACATCGCGATCGGTTCCTGGGTGGTGTTTGGAATTGGAATCGTCGTCATGATTGCTGGCGGGATCTGGGCGATTGGGCGCCGGAACCGGGGAAATAATCCGCTCTCCTCTTCTCTCAAAAAGTGAGAGACTCCAAGGACCCTGTTTTTGTGCATGCTACAGTGCAATATTCTTGTGAATGACATATTTAACTAGATGCAAGATGCAAATTCAAGAACACATGCCAAGTATTTCCATCCCATTGATTTATTTAATTCGGCTGATATGCGACGAAGTCTTCTGTGACCCAGTGTTTGGCATAACAAAGGTAGGAATAAAGACAGAAGAACGCCCGAAGAAACCAAGAAATCAGAATCCTTCACAGATATCCCACGTGGATGACCCGAGAGACCTCTTCGAAGTGGTCCTCAAACTTTTTGAGGCGAGGGTCTCACGGGCTCTTGGGTCCACCTTGAGTGGGCTCCATTGAAAAAGATCCAACATTTCTACATGGTTAACCCTTTATCTGGTCATCGATCTCTTGACCAAGATACCCTAAACCAGGAAATCCCCTTTAAAAAATGAGCGTCAACCGAAAACTGCCTATTCCTGCCGCATCCACTCGCACGTCCGACTCTCGTAGTCACTGAAATTGCCACTACTTGAAATCAGAGCTCATATTAACGTATCGGGGCTGCTCTCTTGCAAAATTGTATTTTCAATAAATACTCATTTTTCTCCTTCATTTACTTGTGAGGGAAGAATTTTTCTCTGCAATAAAGGGATGCTCCGAATTTTAGGTGCGCACCTAAATACATAAGTAAATGAATGTAAACATGTATAATATGTATCTGAATATCTACAAAATGATTAAACTTGCTAGTTTTCAACGAATAATTCAAAATCTAGAATTTAAAAAGGTACTAATCGCTATCATTCATGAGTGCCGATAAAACTGCTAAATGTGAAAAAATAAGTTATTAGTTCATCTTAGTGGGCTGCATAGAACCATAAAGTGGGCCGCGCATTGAAGACCGATGCTCTATATGAACCCCATGCACCTCGCGAACCGTAGGACTCCGACAGAGGCACAGGATAGAGGCAATCATGCAACTATGCTGGAGTCCTTCAGCTCTCCAGATACAAAACTCCACCCCCCAGAGAGCATGTACCCTTCAAGGTCGGAAAAAAAAGCGCCACCGCGATAAGGACGTTCAGGACCATAACTACAGAGTGGACCAAGAAAAAGTTCACTCTTTTCATTTGCTTGTTCCATCCTTGCTAATTGAACTCATTGATACATTCAACTTAGAAGATAATTAATATATATAAGCACAGTTTATTAGACCATGGTTCAACATGCTGCGCTTCTGAGGATACTACCCTCTCCTCATCGAATACAATTTATTTCAAGGAAATGTGACAAATCATTAATGTCTTTATTATGTGGATAATCCTAAACAGTCTTGATTATTACGGATGTAGCAATGAAATGAAAAAATGTGAAATTTGTTTGATCCACAGTGTGAATGGAGTAGTTCATCTTCGTATGACTTATTCGCATATATAATCACTTAGATAACTTCTTTCGATTATGTTGAGGTACAATAACACATTCATACAGTCATAGGACATTCTATTCCCCCCATGACTTTAAACCTATTTGGACCTAGGCGTTTGGTTTCTTTTTCCTTCCTCCTTTTGCATTTGGAAGCTTACTCAGCGAGAAAAAATAGGTGGTTTTTTAAAATGAATCCTTGGGTATGATCACATGATTTTTTCGTTTTCATCAGGGCTTCGGAGCGGAATTTTTTTCGTTCCGTGTTTCATTCCGTCCCACATGATTCCCGAGTGTTGCGATTTCTGTTCCGTTCCACAATTATCATTTTGTTCCGTTCTGTTCTAGGAAATATTTCCGTTCCATTGCATACCGTTCCGTTTCACTGTATGGGAAAAAACCTTCAGAAATAACTTTTGAGAAAAATAAAACTATCAATTCAATTAGATTAATTGATTAAAGTATTAATCGCGATAGCCAAAATTAGTCGAAATTAATCGTAAGTCAACACCCCAATCTCCTCTTTTTGCCTCTTTTCCCCCCAAAAACTGCTGTAAGCGACTGCATCACCTTGAGTCACTTCCTAAGGTATGAATGTGGGGGGTGGGGGTGAGGTTAAGGTTGAGGTTGAAGAAAGGTAAAACCTTTGAAAATTAGTTTTCACATTCCTTCATAATCTTCATTACCGCAAGTTCAATCTCTGGAAAAGGAGGTAATGCCCAGACGTTGACAATTCAACGCTGGCACAACGTGATATATGAGCATATTTTTAACGTTGAATTGCGTTTCATTTCAATATTGCAGCAACATTAAATCCACCATTTACACACCGTTGTGGCAACGTTGCTATGTTGAAAAATGAATCCTCGCTCAACATTTACACGATGCTGTTGTACCGAATGGGTTCCCAGTTCCATTCAAGTCGTTATTCGTTTTGTCAACCATGTTCTTGTCAAGTATGATGAGATCGATTGATCTCATCTTTCAATTGGAAATGAAACGATTCGGTCACTCTTTTTACATTTCTTTTTAGTTAGTTTTTTCCCCCAGATTTTTTCACTATCTAAGCTCTTAACCTAACACGAGATTGAGCTTGACAGACGCTCTGTGCAAGACCCCCAGATTTTTAAATGGATAAATAGAATGCAGTCCTTTTTAGTGAGCCTCCTTCCTGAATGGAAAGAGATCACTCATAGTGCCATCCTGTCCGTCCGTGTGTCACACTTTGGTTGTCCGATGATAGCTAAAAATACATTGGTCTGATCAATGCAACATTTGGCAAGCGGGTAGATATGAACAAGACACAGACCAAGTTCGTTTTGTGGTGAATTTGCACAAAAATTGGCATGTTTATTGCAAGTTTTGGATTTGAAATTTAGTCACAGAGAGAAAGGCATGAGTACCTATGAGCCCTTCAGGATGTAGATCACAATGCTCATGCGCATACAACCCTGGCCTTGGGCGCGGCGCTGTCAGCTCCAGAGCTGTCAGTTCTCTATCAACCTTCGTGATATGGATGGATGCAACCACGCACAGCCCTCCTTCTCCCCCAACATCGTTTCATGGGCACCGTTACCAAATATAAATCAGAAATGAGGTTTTTGATGGTCGAAGACCTGAAAGAGATGGCATTTTGTTCAATTAGGTGACAAAATGAGGGTTTCCTTAACTGAAAGGAGGCCCACTACTGAACTGGGCTTGTCCAACTTGTTTGTTATAAGATTACCGCCTTGCTCTGATGACGGGGTGTGGATTCAGCTACCCTGCTTTGAAAAGCCTCGAATATTTACTGTGAAGGTACCATAAAATTGACGAAAATGAGTGATAATTTGGCGCAAATGATGTGATGAAAAAAATGCGAAAAATCATATTTACCGTTGAACTACTCCATTCAAGGCCATCATGAAGTGCTATAGATCATTAAATAAATGATATATCACATTTTACAGACAAACCATGACACAAACGCGATATTTAGGTTAAAATGGGTGGATACATATCTCAAAAATACGGCCTCGATTCGCATCTGCGGGTTCAGAGAACGAAGAGAACTCTCAGGTATTAGTGCCTCGATGGCAAAAGGCGAAAGTAGGAAAATTCTCACATATACGCAGGCTGAAAAGTGACTCTCTGATGATTGATTGTTGCTAATAGGCTGGAAAACCACGGGAAATAAAAATTTGTAGTCAAATACACTAACTTATCTCTGCCAAGTGAAATTCTCACATGATGGCGATGAATTTTCGAGGCGAATTGTGCAGAAGTCCCGAAGACTCAAATTCTGACGTCGGCTCCTGCATTGACTATTCACCTTTGACACGTCGCACTAGGAACAACACGAAACTAACGCAAGAGCAAGGACGACAACTAATGTAAAATTCAGCAGTAACTCTTCAATCACTAGGTTGAATTCACAAGAAAATTATCTCAGCGATAAAAATATAGCAAGAAATGCGCTGATCGGAATCACGGGTTTCCTTCCCGTTTAAAGCACCTTTCATCTATCTACACTATATTTCAGAATTTGTGTGTGTCTGTCTGTCCTTTACGCACGACCACGCCTCTGATCCCAGTCCGACCAAACTTTGCATGGCTTCCTCATTTGGTACGGGGATGGCCGTAGGCTTGGTGGCATTTCAAAATCCGAACCCCCCGGGGTACCTTATTTAGTACATTTTTATTACTTATTCTACTTATTCGGCCGATTCACTACTACAGACCCCCCAAAGGTGTCAAAATTTTGGGGTGGTCAGTACAAAGTTATTGAGGGACCCCATGTTACTAAATAAAATTTCCTTTGCACCTCGCTGCGCGAACAAATTCGCTGGTTTTCTACAAGTACGAGGTATAAGAAGTCAGAGGTTTGAACTTGATACTCTTCTTCCAAACCGGATGAAAAGCCGAGACAAGTGTGTGGTTTATTCGCCGAACTAGGATCACTAAATTAGTCATGCATCCCTTCAAGGAAACCATTACCAGCGATATTTTTTACTAAAATCGAATTTCAGTCCCTCCGGATTGAAATTCTTAGGATGACGCTTCTCTAGTTTGCTAGAGTGCTACAACGTCAAGTGCAATTTTTTAAGTCTACCTCTGGAGCAGATGCCATGTAGTCTTCAAAAACTTACAAGTTTCCGCCGATTTTCATTGAATTAGTGTCAACGCAAATGGAAAATGGTGAATTTTCCGAAGATCAATAAAAGAGCTTTCGTTAAAGACAGCAACGTCTGCCGACAAGGATTTGTGCCATCGACATTTCAATGAACCCTCTGTCACCAATCCTGTTCCAATAGTCGCGTCTATCAACGGAGAGTATGCATAACTGACGCTCTCGAGGGAGCACATGCCTCGCCTGCCTCCAGTTTGTGGCAACCGAGACAGACAGGGTTCACTCTTCGCCGTTTCACTTTCCATAACATCAAAATATTCGTTGCCTTTCAAGGCTTGCCAAGTCAGGAATTTTCAGATGGAAAGGGACATGGATCCCCCTTAGTATCGTCAAGTGGATAGGAGTCAATGGAGTCAGATAGAGTGGATTGGGTGCTTGAACCCTGATAGGGTCCACGCACCCTATCTCAAAGTCCCCCGAAAGAACTTCAATTCAAGGGATTTTTTAAAAGTATTATCTCAAGTGAAAGGTGTGGGAACCGGTGTGGAAGGGTACAAGTTCTAACTTTTTGTCGATTTACCAATGGTTTCAGCATGCGCTCAAAAAAAATTGAGTAATTTTGATGTTCTTTTCATCGTAGTTCCATAATTGAAGTATTGATGCATTGAAGCGTATGAGCAATTAAATCAATAATAAGCAACCTATTAAACCTTTTCGGGCACTTTTTCCAGACAGACCATTTTTCCCTTCAACCCTTCAATTTAAAATTGAAATTAAAAAAGTGCGAGTTGAGGTCATTTTGAATTCGAAAATCCTTCACTAG